CAGGGATGCTCCCCAGCATGCCCCGCAAAGGGTTAACCCCAGGCCACACAGGCTGGGGGAATGGAAGCAGCAGCTCTTGGGAGAGGAGAGAGCTGGAGCGTCAGAGAAGTCAGCTCACCAGATTAACACGTTTCAGTTCAATTTTGTTCTGCCTCTCGCTAGGGACAAGATGATGGAAAATGCACAAGTGATTTTTGTAGGTCACTGCTGAGCCCGGTCACCCACTTGTGGGGACAGCAGAGCAGGGAGAGGGTGGCCAGCCCCAGGGCAGAGCTCACCTGGACAGGGCGGCCGGGGCTCTGCGGGGCCTCTGCTGCTGCGGGTTTGTCCCCTTCCTCGGCAGGACTGCACTGCATGCACAGGGCAGGGGAGGCTCTTCCCCAGGTCACACACAGCAAGAGACCAGCAGAGCCTCCTCTGAGGCCCGACCAAGGCAGTGGCAGAGCCATGAACAGCCCCCATCTCACCACAGCCCCCTCCTACAGCCTCCTCTAATTTCTCCACACCACAGGAGGTGAATGGTCTGGCCATGGAGGCCCCAGGGTTTTGCTCTGTTCTGGCTCAGCAGCGCAAGTCACTGTGCCAGGTCCCGCAGCAGTAGCTGTGGATCTTCCTCAGGGACGAGGCACTGCCCATCCTCCTCGGCCCACCCGGTGCTCACCAGTGCTCCGTGTCCCCTGGTCCCCTTTCAAGCCCCGGGTGTGCCATGCACAGCAAGGCAGCCCAACCCAGGGCCCGTGGGTGCCACAGCTTCGTGCCAGCCTGCTCCAACCCAAGCCATGGCCCTACACAGGCAGGGGAGCAGAGGGATCAGCTGCTCCCTCAACTCTCTGCTGCCCAGGGGGAGGCAGGAGCCAGGCTGAAGTCACCTAGGGGGAACTGTTATCTTTTAGGGGAACCCTTCAACAGCTGTCTCCTCCCCCAAAATCCTTTTCTGGGAGACCTCACCTGCCTGACAATCAAATGCCCAGCTGCTCCTTCCAGCAGGTCGTTCTCCAAAGGTCCAAGATGGTCTCTAACAGAGCAGCCCAGAGCCACCCCACCTGAGCAAGGGCTGGATGGAGAAATACATGAAGGTGGGACATTCACCATCATGCACAGACTCCCAGAGCTGCCACTACTAACCTTCTGCCACCACCTCTTGCCCACACATGGAGTAACCCCTGGGATGGGGCTCATGGGACAGGGGGAGGAGAGCATTCAGGGGGGTTCATACTCAGATAAATAAAGGAGCAGAGGAGAGCCAGGAACTGGAGTTGGAAACCACAAGCCAAGCTCCCAGTCCGGGCTGCGCAGTGCCACACGTAGGCTGCCGGGCTCTATTTTAAATGCTGTGTGGCAAATATATGCAGGATGAAATCCAAGCTGGGGGAAGGGGAGGGTGCTGGGCGGCAGAGGTGTTCAAAATTAGGAGCTGAGCTCAGGCAAGCATGGCTTCTGGGAGCAGATGGGGGAAGAGCCGGAGCTGGGGCCTGCGTGAGCTGTGCAGCTGCAACGCCAGCCCCGGCTGCGCACTCGCGGGATGAACCGCCTCGTGGTGAGGGGCCGAGGGGGGCATGCTCCCCTCTGCCCTTCCAGCGAGGTGGGAAGAACACACGAGCAACGACGGCCAGGGAAGGGTGGCGAGCACACCCAGGGCAGCTGCAAGCTGGGCTAAGGAATCGGCTTCTTCAGCAGCCTGAAGAGGACCTCTGGTCCCTCTCGGCACAGCTCCTGGCGCACAGGTCACAGGACAGCCCAGCCCTTGGTGTGCTTACGGGGCAGCCCTCCTAGTGAAGAGGAACTGCATCACCTTTCACAGGCAGGGAGGGCGAGGGACTCGGGGAGACCTAGCCAAGTCCCAGGCAGAGTAAGGAACCGAGCCTTGCTACCCTCCTCGCCCACGGACATTCCTCCGCACTCACAAAGCCGGCCTGATTCTGCTCTCCTCTTCCGGATCGATCCCGAAAAAGCTGCTGCCATCTCACTGTGCTTTGCAAGATGATCACGAACAGCGCCCCAGCACCCGGGCACACAGCGAGGCTTTAATGGGAGCTGGCAGATCTGGGATGGTACCTGCCCTACATTTATGGAGCAGTCAGGTTGACAGAATGAGCGAGTTTTTATATAGATTTTGGTGGCAGCGGTTTTCTTCACTGTCGGTGGAGAGTGGGGGGAAAGGAAGGGAGATGGAAAATATTTTCATTTAAGCTCTTTCCTGCATTCTTGCTGTTGGAGTCACACAGTATTCATACGCCCCTCATAAGCAGGCTGGTGGCTCTGGGTTTTGCTCAGAAGGGGCTGTGCAGAATTAAGTAGCCAGTTAAATTATTAATAGTCTGTTGGGGGGTGCCCAGGATGTCTGCTCTGGGTCCCTGCTGCCTTTTGGGGGGCTCCAGTGCCCCCCAGAGGCACAGAAACCAACTACAGCTGTTTGACAAACCTGTTGGCTGCTCTGCCCTACTTAGAGCCCACAGAGACCCTGTTCTGGCCTGGAAACCAGCGGGCTGTGAAGCCTTGCTGGATGGGTCCTCCTGCACCCGAGCTCACCCACCATACACCCAAACGGGGCAGGCACCAAGGGGACTGCAAGTGTTTTACCCCACCCACGTGCTTGGGGCAGCGGGAGCAGGCACAGGCAGGAAGAGGAAAGGGAGAAAAGCCCACCAGGCAGGGCAGAAGCTGAAGGGGCACATGTATTCAGCACCTTCTTTTCACAGCTAGACCTGTGGGAGAGCCGCCACGCAGGGCTTTGTGTTGGATGTCATGTCTGCAGGCTGCAAAATGGCATCCAAGTGTCTGAAGTCTGTTGGGGGCCACTCTCTGGTTACACCAGGACAGAGGATGCAAGGGCTGGGCTTTGCACCCAGCTGAGCACGCGAGACCGGCTCTCCCCACCTGCAGGAGGAACTGTCCCCTTCAGACATGGCCTGCCCCCACACCAGCCCTCAGCTTCCTTCCTAATCCCTCCAGTTTCCTTCCCACAGCCTTGACATCTGTTTTCAGGCAGCTAAATACCACTCGCGACAGCTGCTGCCCCCACAGCAGAAGGCCCAAGTCAAAATCTCATGTGGCAGAATGCAACAAACACAGACTACAAGGGGGCACGAGCAGCCAGCACTCAGGCCAGCCCCAGCTCCCTCCTGCTCATGGCTTCATGGGTGGCTTAACTCTCTCCCTCTCCTTTCTGTTCAGGATGAAGCCGAGCTAGAAACACCCGGGTCAGTGCCATGGCCACACAGCCTGGCTGCAGAGACCTGTCTGCTCTAACAGGGCTTTTTTTGGCTTGTTAATTTTGCGCTGGATGAAGTGTCAAACCGACAGCCTCAGGGACAATCTTTCTTCCACAGGACAGCTCCGGCACAGGCAGCAGAACATGGCTTTTCAGGTGATTTCATTTTTGGCTTCTGGCTTATTTTTATCCTGCAGGATGTATGTCAGACTGGTCAAGTTAAGCACAAGTCCTTCACCTCCTCCCCACTGGATCAAATTACTTGGCAGGCACTTTTCCTGGGCACAGCCTTCCCCTTCTGCTCAACGGCTGCCACGCTTGGGCCCTCCTCTACCACTGCCTTGAGCTGAGGCTGCAGGCTCTGACTCTGCCACAGTCCTGCCACTTATCATTCCACTGCCCCCAAGATTTTGGTCCTCAGACCACCCCCCCTTCCACACACCAAGGGCCGACAGTCCCCAAAGTCCAGGCTCCAAATCCTCTCTGTTGCTCAGAGGCATCGGCCATCCCAATCCTTCCAGGACTTGGGGTTCTTCCAGCAAAGCCCACTTCCCTCCAGCAGCTTGCTCTCACCACTGATGTGCCTAAAACTGGTCTGGAGGATGGGGATCACTGTCCCAAGCTGTCCTTGCTAAGCACCAGTGGGACAGGAGTGGCAGACCACAGCAAAGTGTTGTGTATGACCAGGAAAGCAGCGGCGAGCGGGCGGGTGGCAGCGCAGCCATCGCGTGGGGGGTCTGACCATGAGAGATGCCAGGGAAGGAAGGAGGATACAGCGGCCTGCACGGCCCACTTGAGGCATCACTCCCCCCGGTGAGGCAAAGCACTGACTTGGGCAGTGAGGCCCTGAGCGAGGCCTGGGCAGATTTGCCTCAGCTCAAGGGTCAAGGTGACGCCCAGGGAAGGGTAAGCAAACCCTGCGCTCAGGTAAGCGGTTCATAAAGGCCACGCCGGCCTGCTGGAGCTCACCACCTGCTGCTCAGTAGACAGAGTTGAGCGGGGAGAGACACAGATACCCTGGAAGGACTTTGAAACAAGGACATTTTTGTAGAAACCGAGGCTGCTTAGCCCCGCTTGAAAGCGACCGAGTCCGGCAAAAGAACACAGCTAGAGAGAAAATTCTCTACAGCACTTGACTGATCTTCAAAGTCAGCCCTGCTCTGAGCAAACGATTAGGCCAGAGACCTCTGAAGGTCTCTGAACTCATTTTTTGCCATGTGTATTTGATGCTGCAGCTAGTCTCTCTGCCTGCCATGGAGGCAGGCCTGCCTGCACCAACCCACAGGCACTGCCAGCATCTGTGCATGTTCCTAGCCAGCTACTGAGATGTCTCACAGCATGCCAGGGTAGTCCGACACCAAGTTTCCATGAGAAAAGGGTTACAGGATAGAGCCAGGGTTTTCAAGTTGCAACAGACTGGACCATCAGCCCAGCTTCGCTACAGCAAACGCCAAAAAAGGGACACTGCTCACTGCAGCCAGTGCAAGGAAGAGCCAGCCCAGCTCTGTGGGGATGTGTACAGGGAAGTGCTACCTGCCCTGCTCAGAGAGGAGCGGGAGACACCAAAGCACCCACAAGGAAACAAACCCCTGCCCTCCCGTGGGGAATTATGTGACATTTCCAGCCATGGCAGCCCGCAATGGAAATCCTCACAGCGTCCCGAAGGGCTGAGTGCTCTCAGAGGAGGGCCACCCCTCTCAAAAAGGGCTGTACAGCAGGACAGTGAATACCACCTCCGTGCTTTTACCTCCCCCCTGCCAGGAGCACAAAGAAAGTGAGAGACCCTTACGTGGGCAGTTCTGCTCGCTGGGGCTCTGCTGGGGCAGCAGCCCCTGGGGGCTCCACTGGCACAGGACTGGGCGCTGCATCCTGGGCTACGGGCAAATCCTGCGTCCCCGTAGCTCCTCCAGCATCCGGCACTGGGACGTGCTCTTCTGTCGTCTCTACCTCAACCTCCTGAGCTGCAGGGGCCAGTTTCACCCTCTCAGCAGCTGCGGCAGCCTCCTCCTCCTCCTCCTTCTTCCTTAGCTTTGCCTCTAGCTCTTGGCGCCTCTTCTCGTCATCCTGACGGGCCATGCGCTCAAAGACTTTGAATGCCTAAAAGATAAGAAGCAAACCAAGCAGGTCATCAAGCCACCAAGCTCTGCCTGAGAAGCTGGGGGAGAGGAGAAGCATCGCACACTTGGGGCATTTATTATCATCCCTCCCTCTCTGGATACCACACCCCCCCCACTCCCTACACTGAGTTGCTTCAGTTGCCAACAAAACCAGCTGGTAACTATTTCCAAAGTCACATGGCCGTGTCAAACACACCTCAGGAGAAAGCCTGAGTTCCTGGGAGCCGTTTTGAAAATATTTCTTGGGTCGTGTTCTGGCAGCCGAACTCACATCAGCCTAGGAAGAGGGCTGGTTACTCCAGGGAAAAGAAGAGCAATGAGCTCTGACTCCTGCCTGGGAAAGGGGCTCCGAGGCAGCCGTCGCCCCTCCAGCCTCCTCTCGTCCTGCATTCCAGCACTCTCCGAGGGGCTGTTTGGAACCCAAAGCTGAGACCAAACCTCTGAGGCACGAACAGAATGAACTGCCCCAGGAGAAGTTGGAGGACAGCTTACTTGGTGCTGCCTGAGCCCGAACAGACTTGGAGCTCTCTTAGCCAGCACAGGTGAAGGAGCAGAGTAGGGTTCTGAGCCAGAACTGTCCGATTTGGGCCACAAACATACACTTGCTCAGAGAAAAGCCATCCCTCACCACCCCAAGAGGTGCGGCAGGCAAGAAAGTTGCTGCCCAAGCCAGTGGCTGCATGAGAAGATCGAATCCCACCCTGCAATCTTCTTCTAGCTGTGTCTGTCTAGCACAGGCTGGAAGTTAAAAGTTACACCCACAACTGCAGGATGCAGCTGAGGGAGGCACAGCGATCTGGGACCTGCGCCTGCTCCTTTAAGGAGCTGAAGCTTCTCCCACCCAAGTGCCAGGACATTTGTCACTGTAAACACATCCTGGAAAGTGAGCGAGCGTCAAAAGAAGCCCTCCTTTACTTCCCAGGAATATTTTGGAGTCAGGTTTAGTGCTTCCAGGAGGACACTGACATTGGGCTGCACACCCAGTCTGCAGTGCTGCTCGATTCCAGTCTTTCACTGGGTACAGGAGGTGTAAGACAAAGTGACGCAGCGCCAGGGCTCCCGCCAGCGCAGCAGGACAGGAGCAGCTTTATCAAAGTGCTTGCTCACACCCCTCACTCCAGGCTTCTTCCCCACATGGGGACCAGCCCATGGGAGGAGGACGCAGGAGAGGTGAGTGCTGGGCATCGTTCCCGCTCCACTTGCTTTTTTCTTTGCAATTGCTTTTACTCCGTGTGATGCCACAGCACCTGTCCCCAGCTCCTTCTCACCAGCCCCGCCTGGACTGGGCAGAGTGACACTTCGAAACTGTGTCCTGCCCCTGGGCTGCGGCCAAGCCAGGAGGGGAGACAAGTCCCTTCTGAACCGGCCCCCAACACTCCAGGTCCCTGTGGCTGCAGCCACAAGGCCACCTTGACCAACACCTTTCTGGGACACAAATGTTGTGGCCACAGCGCTGCAGCTTTCTCCTTGTGCCCAGGCCCCAACCAGTCCCTGTGGGGACACGAGGTGGGTGCTCGCGCTCTGAGCTCTCCCCGCTGCAGCCTGAGACCCACCCTGAGCACCCCCACTCACCCGCAGAGCCCAGAGCGCTCCCACAGCGGGGGGCAGGGGGTGACGAGGAGGCCCCTCATGCCACAGACCATTGCGGGGAGAGGGGCAGGGATCTCCTGACCTGCCCGTGTCACCCAGCAAGGAAAACTCTCCCAGTCCAAGCAGATGAACACCCCAAATCCAGCCTTACCCTTAGTTTTATGAGCTCATTTCCTCCCCGATGATAAAGATTAATGACAGCCCGGAACAGCTCTGGCCATCAGTGTTGCCCCAACACCAAGCCTGGCCAGGGGGTGAAAACAGCAGGTCAGGTGTTTTACCATCTCTCACTCACGATCGAGGTGAGCCTGGTGCTGGCCATGAATTCCTGCTGAGCAGAGCCCAAACCAGCTCCCAGCAGGACTCCCAGGGCCTCGCCCTGCCTTCAGCTGCTCCACAGGCTCCCTGCTCCCATGGCTTTTGGTGGCAGCTCCCCACAAACCCCCCCGCCTCCGCCGCGCCGCCGTCCTCAGCCAGGGCTGAGCTCCAAGAGGGGTATTGCACCCTGACTCTTCCCAGGAGGGTCTTGCCGTCCCCTCCTGCACCTGGGGGTCCTCATCCTCTTGCAAAGGTGACACTTCCCATCTGCGCCCCCGCCCCCGACCTGCCAGGACACCCCTTCCGCCTCCTCCTCCTCCTCCTCTCCACGCAGGGCTGGTAATCCAGGGGCTACTGTGCTGCCTAGCCGCAGGTCCCGGTCCCCCCTGCCCGGATCTCCACCGCAGCCATCAGGCAACAGACCCGCCCGGCTCGGAGGAGACAAACGCGGCTGGGGAGGCCCAGCGACGAGGACACCCCCTGGGGACACCCCCAGGGACCTCCGCCACCCACACGACAGCCAGCACGGCCGGGCTCCGTCGCCTCCGCGGCCTGCCGAGGAGCAGCGGCCCCAGGAGGCCCCTCAAGGCCGGAGGGGTGTGCAGCAGACCCCGCCAGTACCTGGAGGGCCATGGCCTGAGCCGCGCCGGGCGGGAAGCCCAGGCGCTCCCCGGGCCGCAGGAGGAGGCGGTAGAAGTCGGTCTTGCGGTAGAGGAAGCCGAAGAGGACACGCAGGAATTCCTCCACGTTCCCGACGTGCTGCAGGATCCCCAGCAGCGCCTGGTCGTACATGTCGGTGAGCGCGGCCGCGGCCTCCATGGCGGCTCCGGGCCCCGCTGTCACGGTAACGGCGCCCGGCCGCGCTTCCGGTCCTCTCCGCGCCGTCCCGTCCCCCCGCCCGGAACCCGCCCCGCGCCGAAACGTTCCGGCCGCCCCGAGGGCCCCTCCGCCCCGCCGGGCTTCCCGGGGGAACCCCCCCCAAAGAGAGGCAGGAGGACCCCCCAGACCCCAGTGGGCCCCTGGGGACTCCCCAGCCCCCCAAGAGCGGCGGCGGGACCTCTGCCCCACTGCACCCAGCCATGGGGCCACATCTTGGCCGGCACTGTCACCAGTGTGCCTCCCACCCCGCCCCACGCTGCCCCCCATCTCCCCACAGCTCCATTCCCCTCTTTGGCCCCACGCCTCCGCACACCCCCACGACCCCATTCTTGTGTCCTCATCCCCCCCCGTGTTCGCCGGGTCCCCTGCCGTGGTCTGTTTGGATCTCTCAGATCTAAGCTTTAATTTACAAGCTCATCAGGAAAGAATCCAAAGGTGCAAACAAGGGCTCCATCCCCTCGGCACAAGCTCGTCTAACTCATGAATTCACCAACCCATCACTTACGTCATGCGTTTCTCACCCGCAAGTTCTCTAATTCATAACTTGTTATTTATTTATAGCGTGTAGCTCCTGCTCCTGTGAGGTGGGAGAGGGTGAGAGTGCCCATCCCTCCTCCTCCCTCCAGGTGTGGGCATACCTGCCATCGCACTGGGAAGCAGGGGAGCCTCAGCAACCCAACGGCCGCTGGATCCCCTTCCAACGCTTTTTTGGACAGTTGGTCTGCATCGCTTCACAGAGACAGTGGGTTCCACAGAAGCTGCTGGACAGTTAGTATGGATGTTGGTTGTAGGAGAGCCCTCAGGGGATCCACTGGGCCACGCTTCAGGGGAACCTCAGCAATCTAGCAATGGGGGATACTGCCAACCACTCCAGGAGGGGTTGGCGTCCTCCTCCATCACTGCTGCCACTCAGCCCTCGAAGCACTCCCCTCTCCTTCCCATGCTCTGAGATGTCAGGGCGCTGGTTGAGGAAGGCGGTGCCGTTGGATTTGTCAGGGACATCGGGGACGGTGTCCTTGCCATCCGTGGTGTCAAGCCAGGCGAGCACATTGTGGACTTGGTGATGTCCATGGTGAACGTGCTGGTCCTGCGGTTTTAGGTTGTCCCCTGTTAGCTCAGGAAAGCTTCTGCTAGCTTTTGGGTGTCGCTGGGGAGGGTGTGGAGCACAGGGGGGGGGCCCTGCACCCAGGGCTGGGTAGTGGGGTGGCAGAAGGCTGGGGCAGGCAGGGATGTGCAGCAGGCAGGAGCCTGTGGGGTACAGGGGCTCCCCCTGGACCACAGCTCCCAGCCCCGTCGGCTGCTGGGGCACAAATATCCCCAGAGGCAAGGTCGAGGAGGTGAAGCTCACACCGGGAACCTCTGATGCCATCAGCAGCCTGAGAGGGATTTCATTCCAAACCTTGGGGTTCCATGCCACGGCATCTTCCTGCGGTGCTGGCGCTGGCGTGGAGGGCAGCCCTGGGCTGCAGGGTGCACCATGTTCCTGTCAGAGGCTTCGCCCCCCTCGGCCGCCCGCTGCTGGGGCAGCCTCTGCCTCCTCTTTTCTCCCGCTGCCAAAGGGGGCACTTAAAGCTCCACCCGGGGCCGTGTCCCCCTGCCCACACTGAGGCCTCAGAAATGGCCTCAGGAACCTCTGCCCAAGTTTCCCCATCCCACCTGAAGAAAGAAGACATGGAAAATTACAAATTGCCAGTAGCAGAAAGATCTGTTCACAGGAGCGCTTGATGTAATACCTCATTCGTAGTTCTGCTGAGGAATCTGCCTAACGAAGGAATAAAGGTACACTTTATGATTAACAGGCTTGAGCCTTGAGCCTGCCTGCTTACATGATTTAGGTACACTCCTGTCTATGCAAAACAAGATAATGGAAGAAGGAGGCTGAAGCCTGCCGAACTACCAGATGCAACTGGTTTTGTGCTTTCAGCTGTAAGGGAAAGGGGAAGACAGAACCAAGTTCACAGAAATGATGCTGTGATGAACATAAGAATGATGAAGTAAACGACCACCCGGGGTCCTAGACCCACCTAGACACTGTGGTGCGCATGCGGAAGTAGGCGGCAACATATTATAAAGATACCTTGGAAAACTAATGAATATTGTAATTAGTTCTTAGAAATTATGTGAACATGTAAGTGAACTGTGTATAAATAACATAAACTCCACTAGGGTGGTACACACATTACGAGGAATGACCCCCTATGCGTCCGCGTCAAATAAAGACGACCTGCTTAATAGCTATTATGGCCATTGAGACTGAATTTTCAGCTTCACACTGCTCCCTGAGGGCTCCAGCTGCCCTTGCCCTCGCCCTTGGATCCCGCTGTCTTGGTGGGCTGCACAGCCCTTGCGCTTTTCTGCCTCAGGCTTCCTTTTGAGAACTTGGCCCCTCAGCTGCAGCCCACAGCCTGGCTACATGGTGATGGAGACCTGCTCCTGTTCCGGCACGGCCTCTCACCTGCCTGTCCGCTGTGGAAGAAAGTTGATCCAGTGAGCTGAGAAACAACCATAATTCTGCAAAAACTTCCAAAGAAAGGCGCAAGTCGTGCAAAGAGTTCACCCAAAAAAGATCTGCCCGGGTGGAGTTTCTTGTGAGTTGGGAAGCAAGCGGTGGGGAGAGAGTGGGGTCCTCTGGGCTACAGTTCTTTGGAGGAAGGGCTTGGCTTGCTCAGCAGCCCTGTCTTTCCAATTCTCTCTCCTCTGGGTTGAGGGGGAATGCTCAGCTGAGTTGCAGCTCTGGTGCCTGCCCACCCGGTCTCCACAGGCAGAGTGCTCTCTCAGTGGAAGCACTGGTCAGTTCGAGCTGCCCAAGGTGCAGCCAGGCAAGGGAAGGAGGGGCCCTGCCTGGCTGGCAGCTCCCTCCCTCGCTCACCATTCTGGGGGGATGTGGGGTTATTTTGCTGCAGCAGTGAGGCAAAGCCAGGCTCTGGAGCTGAGTGTGGTGGGACCTGAGGAAGGGTGTGATTGTCTCGAGGTTCCAAAGGGCTTTGCAGCGAGCCCTGTCCCCGCTGGAGGGGACACTGGTTATGTTCAGGACGAAGGCCTTGCAGCCCTGGATGGGGAGTGTGTCCGTCCCTGCCCTGGCCCCCCAAGCTCTGCCCTTGTCCCGGGGGCTCTGTGCTGCTTTCTGCATGGGGCCATGTCCGTGAATCCTGCAGAGAGCCGTCTGTCCTGGCTGCCCTGCCACAGGGCTGCTTCCCCTGGAGAAGGGGACTGTGGAGTCCCCCACCACCACCATTGCCTGCCCCGCTGGCGGTGCCTCGGCCCTGGAGGCTTTCTGGTGCCCTCTGGGGCTCGCTGGCTCTGGTTTGGGGCTCGGCGGGGCTTTTGCACCTCTCGGGTGCCATTTCCCGCTGCCCCCTGTGGTCCTTCACCTCTCCCGCAGAGGCACGGAGCGGTTCTGGACAAACAGCTTTTGATGGAAAAAAAAGCAAGAGGAAAGAACTCATTAAAGCTACTGCAATGCCCACACCACCACCCCTTCCAGAAACACCCCCCATCCCAAACGCCGCTCTCCATCTCATTCCCGCTGTGGGTCTAATCCCACCCTCCCACCCCCGTGCTGGCGGCCGGAGCCCTGCGCTTGCTCGGGGGGTTTGGCCAGCTGCTCTTCCGCTTCTTCCCCCCCTTTTCCAGGCTTCCCCCGCTTTTGACACCCCCCCTGCCAGGCTGGGGCGGTGGCAGGTCCCTCCCCGCAGCCCACCACAGGTCCTGGGCCCCCCTCCCGAGGGTGCTGAGCTGCTCCAGGCGCAGGATGATGTCGCTGGTCTCGGGGACGCTGTAGCTGGGGCTGAGCACCTCGGCGGGCAGCCGGAGCGGGCGGATGGGGCAGTGTGGGGTGGCTCTGGCGGTGCCCCCCGAGTCCCCAGGCACGGGGACGCTGCTGAGACCGTCCTGGCTGGGCAGGGAGCAATGCCAAAGCACGTCCCCGGGCAGCGCCAGGTCACCGGCCGGGTCCCCAGCAGCTCGGGAGCGGGGGGCAGCGCGGGGGCTGAGGAGCACGTTGCTGCCTGGGGGTGCGCTCACGGAGGGGGGGGAGGCCGTGTAGCAGAGGCTGAGCCGGGCAAACCACCTCTCCATGTGCTGGTGGCCAGGGCAGCCCGGCGGCAGCACTGGGGGGGCCGGGGTGTCCGCTCTGCCCTGATGGGTGTGGGGCGCGAGGTGCCGCAGCTGGCCCCGGAGCTGCCCAGGCCAGGGGGGTCCCGCAGCTCCCGAGCCCCCCCAGGGCAGCACCGGGCAGAGGAGCCCGGGCGCTCCCCGCGGGGTGAGCTGCTGGGCTGGTGGCTGAGGAGGAGGCTGGCTCCCGGGAGGTGAGGTGGGGGAGATGCCCGTGTCTGCCGGGGGTGCCCAGGCTGCGGGGAAGGGCTGCTCCTGCCTGGGCAGTGGGCACGGGTTGGCTGAGCCTGGGCGAGAGACGGGAGTGAGGGCCGGTGGGCACCTCCTCTCCTTCCCCCAAGAGTGTCCCCGGGCTGCAGGGGCGGGGGCCGGTCCCCACCTGGGAGGTGGGTGGTATTGGGGGGCCCCCAAGGCTGAAGCAGGTGGTTTTGGAGGCCACATGGTGGGAGCGGCAGCCGTGTAGCACAAAAGCGGCCGCAACCGTCTGCCCAAGCCTTCAGGACCAGTAGGTCCCAGGACCCTGCCCCTACAAATCACTCTGGGATCACACCTGGGGTTTGCAGCAGCATCTCCTTTTTTTGAATGCCAGTAGATAAAGTACCTTCCCAGGCAGTCCAGGAGGCGCCTCTTGTCCTCCACTGCTGCCTGGGGGGAGCAGGGCAGCACAGGAAGGCAGAGCACCAGCTCTGCTCAGAGAGATGCGGGACCAGCCACGCTCTGGCCACCAGCCCTGCAGGGGTTTTGCTCTTCCCCGTCCTTCTGTTAGCGGTCGCAATGGCGAAAGAACTTACCTACACAAAGCAGATAAGCAGGGACTTCTTTATTCCAGTGCTGGGGAACACGGGGGATAACTCCGCCAAAGACGTGTTCAGCAATAGGTACAAAACACCACATATTTATACACTTTTTCAGCAGAGTCCTGGTTACATAGTCCTGGTTACATAGTCCTGGTTACATAGTCATTTTAACTCAAGATCCGTAATCAGTACCCATTGTTTTGATTCAGAGTCCATAACCATTCCTATAGTGATTAAGGCAAACACCATACTAGTTAATAACAATTCCTATAGTGATTAAAGCAAACACCATACTAGTTATCTGTTCCTAAGGGCCTCAACATACCTTATATTGTCACAGCTGCTATAACTCCATTTTAAATCAAAGTCATTTTTTAAACTAAAATCGAAATAATATTCTAGGATTCAAACTATAATATTAAGGTATTTGCAACACTTCTGCTCTCTCTGCCGGGCACTGTCCACCTCCAACACCCCGCCTGGACTGCTGGCAAGATTATGTGGCTGCGACAGACGGGACAAAGGTGCTCTCGTGCCCTGCGTGAGACCTGTCCTGCCCCAGCCCCACAACCCCGTGCTCCCATCGGTATCCACTGTCCCCTGCTCGGGACAAGCCCTGAGCACTGGCTTGGAGCTGCAGAGAGGTACCTGGAGGCAGGGGCTGACCAGGGGCATTCCCATGCCAGGAGGAATTGGAGGATGCTGTATCCAACCCCATGGCTCAGGGTCAGGATCCTCGACCCAGTGCTGACTCACTGCCATGAGACCCGCACCAGCAAGTGGCAGGAACTGTGCATCCTGACAGCTGCAGCGAGGTCTTCACTGGTACGCGCTTTGCTACCCGTCCCCACACCTCCCTTCTCTCTCGGAGCTCTCTGTCATATTCCCTTCTCCTGAAGTAGGCTGAAGGAGCGGAGCAGTAGTGTAAGAAACTATGAACTAAGGGTATTGTTTATTGAAATTTATGTTAAGCTCAATGTAAAGGTTAGGCGGCAAAAGACAGAAAAACTGCTTATGCAAATAGCTGCCAGACACCGCTTGTGTGAGACAAGATAACCTGTGAGACAAGATAACCTGTGAAACAAGATAACCGCAATTGCTTACACAAACCAGATACTTGTGCAAGCAGAAGGGGTACTGATCAAAGACAACCACGAATGTAAAAATGTATAAAAAGGAACTGTTTGAACTGATCAGTACGGCAGTTGGCGGAGCGCAGACTCCCCTGCCGTCCAGTGCTGTCTTTGCTCATATTCTACTTGCTATAATTAATAAAATTATAATTGGATTATGATCCATTGTGGTCTCAATTTATAACAAGTAGCATTTCTGAAAAGCAAGAGGCACTCCTGAAGCGGCTGATCTACGGAAACATTAACCAGATGGTCCCCTCCCACCCTCAGGAAACATTGCACCTGGGGGGGTGAGACATGCCCTGCCCTTTGTTTGTCGGGACATGCCCTGTGCTTGTCGGGACATGCCCTGTGTTTTGCTGAGCCAGGCCGTTTATCTGATGACATGGGAGTTGCCAGGGGAGGGTCGGCGCCGAGGACTTGGGGTGGGGGATATGTTAAAGATTTCTCGGAACTAATTGGAATAGTCCCTCTCTATTCCGCGGGTGCATGTGGAGGAAATTATTCCCCCGTGCGCCCAGTGCTGAATAAACATACCTACTGCATAACCTTACTGGTTGTAAAGTCGTGATTCCACGCCTCACGGCGGGCAAATGCGCAGGGGCCTTTCTCCCAAAAGCACCAGCCCCACGGGGGCTGCAGCAGGGATGCTGCAGAGGTAGCAGAGGCATTAGGGGAATCACTGCCCTAAGTGCCCGTGGGGATGTCAGGCTCGGGCCAGGGGCTCGCTGCGCTTCCCAAGTGGCACAGCCGAGCTGCAGCAGTTTCCTGCCAGGGAACTCTTGGTTTCTTTTTTTATGATCTTCTTACCTGGTAGTCTCGTCCCTCTTCTAGAGCCCCCTTTGCCTTTCTTTTGTCAGGCACCCCCTTCAAGACAGCAGACGCTCCCCTCTGCCATGTGTGGGGAAATAAAGAGTGCGTTTTGGCTTGGGTGTCCAGCAAAGAAAATATCCCTGTGCAGCCCAGCCCAGCCCAGCCCAGCCAACATTCGTTTTGCCCCAATTTGAGGGAAACAACACAGCTCTGCCTTGCAGGCCTCCACACCGCCAGCCCTGCCTGGGGGAGAGAAATGCCGTCCCTCTGCGTGGCTGAAAGTGCAGCCAGTACCTGGGTGTTCAGGGCAGCCATGTGAGCCTGCCAGGCCTGCTGTTCTGCCAGCTCAGCCCTTTCTTGCTTCTCCTTCTCTTCCAGCAAGGCTGCCTGGAGATTTCGCTCCTCTTGCTGCCTGCACAGGTAGCATACCTCCTGCAGGGTCCACAGACACCAAAGCAGATGTTGTTACTGTCAGGTACTGGAGGGTTTCTGTGCCTCGTCCCGAGCCCTTCTGGCTGCAGCGTCCTGCTCCAAATGCTGTAATGGCACTTTTCCACCGTTCACCACAACACAGGGGTGACAAGGGGCGAGATCACATACCTGTCCCACTCTCTGATGGCCTTTGCAAACAGGGATTTCAGATCTTGGTTTGCCTTGACCAGTCGTTTTGCTCTTCCCCTCCTGCACAGAGCTCCCCTCAGTCACCGGTAGTACACTAAAAATACAGAGTGGACAGAGTTTGGGCACCACTGGACGTACTTGCATCTCCTTTGTGAGCAGAGGCTTGTGAGCTGAGCACCTGCCTCTGCAGCAGTAGCGGGTTGTGCAGCAGAACTGCGTCGCCTGCTCCTCACCTTCTCCTACACGGAGAATGAGGTGCTCAGGGTGCTCAGGACTGGGCCCTCTTTGCATCATCTGCAGCGACTGTCTCCCGCACATGCCCCAAGTGACAGTGACTGGAAGGACTGTCTGGTGGGCAACCTGCTGAGCTGGGGGCTGCAGGGGCTTTGCTGCTGGGGCACAGTGTGCAAGAAGGGGACAGGAATGTGGGGAGAACAGTTATATCCTGCAGGAAAGCATCCAACGCCTTTTGCACAGCAGAGTATTGTTCCCCCCAAAGTGAGTGTGAAGAAGACCCTCAAGTCCAGGAACCAAGAAACCAACAGGAGAGTCTGACCAAACCTCACTGCACACTTGCCCTCCAGCAAGAAAATGCCCACCCCTGGGACACTCCAAAGAGCCTTCCAGAGCCGATAAGGGCAACGTGCCCATCACCAACATGTCACTCCCCAAGGACAAGAGCACACCCCCGCCCCCAGGGTGTTTCTCCAAGCCTCTCACCTTGCTGGAGGAGGCTTGACTCCCAGGGCTTGCTCAGCCTTGTCCTCCTTTCTTTTCAGACCAGCTATTGTCACGGGGGAAAGCTTCCTTTGAAGGAGAGTCTTCTCAGGAGGACTCCCTGCAAGTGAGACACAAGAAACCTCCTCAGACAACGGCATCTTTGTGGCAGCTCAGACAAGCAGCACATGCAGAGCTTCTCCACCTGGCTGGGAAATCATCGGTAGCAGAACTCCTGATTCTCTTGGAGGGAGCTGCAAGCGCTGTATCTCATCCAACTCTGCAGGTCTAGGTTGCAACTTTCACTTCTGTGGTATTCCTTGTCTAATATTCCATTTCCCTAGGACATCTTCGGAAAAGCAGGTCTTGCCAGGAAAAGCTGGACACCTCACAGAGCATCTTTAGGGCAAACAACCCAAGAGGAAGAGATCCCAGGCTGCAGGCACTGCTCCTATAGACACTCTTGCTACTGTGGGCACTGTCAGCCCAAAGACACTGTTTCTGAGGAGTCTGTGAGCAATTCCAACAGAAGGGATCAAGATACCAGCCCCCAAGCTGCCACGGTGCTAGTGCACAGGCTTGGTGACTTTTGACAATCTTCCCAACACAACCTTGTGGGATCATTTTTGGAGGACAATGGCCGCGTTGGACAAGAGCAAGACTTGGAACTGAGAGTGCTGTACAGCTGGTGAATGAGGAGGACTTCTTGACCTTCGTCGGCCAGAAGCCTTGGGAGAAGCAAACAGGAATGCAGAAAAACAAGATAAGGATGCTGAGCTTTGCCTGAAGAAAACGTGCCAGGCTATGGTTAATGGAAAACATCTGGCCGTTTCTTAAACAGTGGAAAGTTTTCTACCTTGAGCTAAAAGTGTATAGAACATTGTGTTTGTGCTTGTAAGATTTAATTAACCAACAGGCTTAGGACTGCGTAACTAACTTGTAGCCAATGAGTTGTTGGGTGTATTGTGGACAGGGGGTAATAACCAATCAAATGTTAGTCTTAGGCGTGTGAACAGTGTGTGAAGAATGCATGGAACCAATCAAGCCTTTTGTTTATGTGTGATCAGTTGCTAGGAAGACATATAAGTGCACTTGTATCGGCAATAAACGATTTTGATTTCTGACTCTTATAGCGTTGCCGGAGTCCATGATTCTCCTCACAACCTCACTCATGAACTGAAAGGAGTTTGAAACCCCAGGATATACCAACCCTCCTTTTCCTTCCAGTTAATGGCAGAAGTTGCTGTTCAGAGTCAGGGTGGACTGTACACCTTTTTGTCACCCTCCAGCACAAGCACAAGCCTCAAACAAAAAAAATAACGGGCAAGACACACCAGGGAGTGGCACACAGTGGGGGTGTGTTCTTCAGCAGACCAACCCCAACCTGGAGCATCGCGCCGACCAAGAGTCTTCTTCCATAGTGAGTCACTGAAGACTACTCGTGGCAAATGCAACCACAAGATGGGCATTTTAGTGTCCCATGTATCCTCTTGTAGAAAGACTTTCTGCCTCTGGCACTATGGACACAGGGGAAACCTGAGAGCCTGTGTCAGGAACCTTCCATTAATTTGTCTTCTCTCTCACTCTCCTTACCTGTGCCTTTTTCCACGTGTTGCTGCTGGAGCGACTTGAGAGGCCGCTTAGTGCCAGATTGTGCTTGGGCAAACTCAGACCTGGAAGCCAGAAGACAACAAATGTGAAGCTCACACGAGAGTCTGACCAAACCCCACCGCACACTTGCCCCCCAGCAAAAAAATGCCCACCCCTGGGACACTCCAAAGAGCCTTCCAGAGCCGGTAAGGGCAACGTGCCCATCACCAACATGTCACTCCCCAAGGACAAGAGCACACCCCCGCCCCTAGGGTGTTTCTCCAAGCCTCTCATTTGTCATGTGAAATGGTTAAGGCAGAAAATCTGAGTGGTAACCAATTCACCACTATCAGTCCAATCAGGTCCAATATATTAAACTGTTATGGTTCAGATACACTAATAGTGCATTGCACCTTCAGTCTAGTCGTGCTCATGAACTAGCACGGCCACTCTTTGGTGGCGTTCAATGAGAAACTGAAATAACTAGCTACTTAAACAATGCAGTTTACTTAAGTGACACATACAGAGGTTCTTATGATTGACAGTGATAAATACACTGTCTGGAAAGCACATGCAAATAAGAGTATATATAAAGCACACAACAAAGTTATAACAATACAGGCAGGCTATAAAAATGGAAAACAGACTTTCTAGAAAGATTTCTAAGTTCTTAAGTCTTACCCAAAGGCGTCCCTATGGGGAGGGAAAGAGAGGCTCAGCCTGTTGACTAGTCCCAGAAGTTCATACGGTGGTGTCTTCCCCCACCTTCCCCTCTTCCCCGGGCTATTTTTACACTATTTTTTACCTTCAAGGTTGAGTTTGAATGACGCCAGTCATAAACATTATGATTGGTGTAAAATTCTCTTGCCTCACATTTAAACATACAGATTACAAAAACTCATGGCGCAGACTCAAGAGTGGTCACAGCTTGGAGGCAGGTAGCCTTTGGGATGGAGGTGTGTTTTGGTATTATAGTGACATTATAATGAGCAAAGTTTGCACAAAGGCCAGCATTTCATCAAAATCCTACAGGATGTTGGCTCAGGGTGGCCAGTGTGCAGCTTCTCAGTTCTGTGGTACCACCTCGTTCCCGTACCTGCTGTACCATCCCAGGGAGAGACCGTGAGCTCTCCAGCCCACTTCATCCCCCGTGTTGCTTTGCAAGCAATATTGTCCCGGGAATCGCAGATGACGTGGTGGATTCCTCGCATACCAGCTGCAGCTGTGTTTCACCCTAGACATCTTTTGATTTTATACTTTTCCTTAATGTGTGAACACTGCTGTATTTTGGCCATTTTAGTAATTATTCCACACTCACCTTGCTGGAGGAGGCTTGACTCCCAGGGCTTGCTCAGCCTTGCCCTCCTTTCTTTTCAGACCAGCTATTGTCATGGGGGAAAGCTTCCTAAGATAAAGGAGAGTCTTTTCAAAAGGACTCCCTGCAAGTGAGACACAAGAAACCTCGTCAGACAACGGCATCTTTGTGGCAGCTCAGACAAGAAGCACATGCAGAGCTGCCCTGTCTGGCTCGGAAATTGTGGCTGTAATCCTCATCCCCTTGGAGTTACGTTTCCCAGAAGGTCTCAGGTCCTCTCCGAAAGCGCTCTAATGAAAGATACACAAGGGATATAATGGCACGGAGTGGGGAGGTATCATTCAGCAGATCAACTGCAGCTGGGAGCAGTGGGCATACATTGCATAGCCTTTGCTTCCATTCCCTGGCAGTAAGGAAACCTGCAAGCCTGTGTCAGGATTCATCCACTGCTTCACCTTCTTTCTCTTGCCTCTTAGCCATGTCTTCTCCCAAGTCTCTCCCGTGTTCAGACTGGAACTCTGCGCTCAGTCTGGCTAACAGCTGATTAAGCTTTCCACTGGAAAGAAGGACAAAAGGCATGAAGCTGACAACGGTGTCTCACAAAGCCTGCTCTCCAGCCAGAACACGTCAGTTCCTTGTGAGATGTGCTAATTGCCTTTTGGTGCTAATGAAGACAGCGTGCGTGACAGAAGTCTCTTGCTGCCACGAGTACAAGACCATGCCATTGCCCTCATTGCCCCAAGAGCCTCACTTGTGCACAGGCCTCTTTCTACTGTCTCGTCCCCCTTTTGCCTCCTTGGCCCCTGTCAAGTTGCCTGGAGATCGCTGCTTTTGATGGTGGAGACTCTTGTCAGGAGGGCTCCCTGCAAACGTAAAAGAGGAGAGCTCTTCAGAAGAGCGTTTTGGGACCGCCCAGGCAAGCGGAGATGCAGACCTGCTCAGTCCCCGCTTGGTAGACTGACAGCCTTTACTTTCTCTCTCCCTGGATCCCTCTGCAGGGTAAGAGCCATCAGCTGTTTTTCCAGTGGGTGGCTTAATCTCAAACCTGGAAAGAAGCCAACAGAAGAAGCTGGAAGAAAGGGCTCTACCTTCCCTTTGCTACCGGTGACAGATGTGGCTGGCAGTCCCCGCATGGCCTCTACTCTTCTAAAGCAGCACATCCAGGCTGTTTGCCACCTTGGAGGACTCCTGTCAGGTAACTGTGTGGCACAGCCAAGAGTCCCCCAGCTCCCTGGTAGTCCCTCCCTGATGCATGCTCTAGGTTTGTACAGTGCCACCTTGATCCCACAACTCATCAGGTGGACCTGCTCAGCAGGGCTTGTCCCAGCACGGAGCTCTGCAGAGACCCACAGCTTCCCTTTGGGCCAGCACCTCCCTCCTCTTCTTCCCCTTGCTCCAAGGAAAAGTAATTCTGGAGACTTTTCGTGTACTGTTGTCTCAGGAAAGCTGGGGAAATGCCTCCAACAAGAATTGTACAGGTCAGCTATTTAACCAACCTTGAAGAGAGGCTTCTTGGCTACAAACCAACACACAGGAAAATTGAGAAGCTGTCTTTTGAAATTCTTTTTGCCATCACCCCATCTGGGTCTATAACCACATCGGGAGGGTAAAGCACAGTCCTTCTTCCACAGTAGCTATCCAGTGGAGGGCAGTCAGGGTCAAGAAGGAGAAAGAGCACACATGGAGGTATCTGGGAACCCTTCCTCAATAACCTCCAGAGCAGGCAAGGTTTGGCAACACAGCCCTACCAAGCAGGAGCTGAGAAGCCAAGCCAATGTACTCACATGGGCAGCACGTGGATGCCCCCAGGATGCACGTGGAAAGCAGCAGGTTCGTTGTCTGACATCACGTTACTCTTTGTCCATGGGTTCTGCAGAAAGCACAGAGAGGTGGCAGATGAGGCCAAGGAAGGGAGCTCCTCACTCACAAATGCCTTCCCACTGCGCAGCATAGCTGCCTCAAGGAAACTCTCTCCTCTACATGTCTTTCACCCACCAGCAGCCCTCCCTTAGCACGAACAAGAGCTCCACGGTTGCGCTACAAGACTTGCCCTGGTCTTGCACCCTTTCACCAAGCTGCTGGCTGTGGGATCCCAAGCTAGAGGGGTGTTTGGCTCCAGCCAAGGAAGGCAGCTCTTCTCCGGGCCTCCCCTGTAGCCGAGACCACCGGATGGGAGCCAGGAGCTCTATGGAAAGCTGGCACTGCGGAAGGCCATGCCTTGCCCCAGTGCTTCGCTGATGACGGCAGGCCAAGAGAAGCGAGCTCCCGAGTCCTCTGAGAGGAGCTCAGAAGCCTGACGAGGAGCCCCCACGCTGGGGCAGGGGAGTGCCTGGGTTGCTGCAATCATCCAGGTACCAGGAGGAAGAGGAGGAAAGCCCCACCTTGTTCAGCGCAAACTGCTGTAGCATGTACGCAGACACACTCTCCCAAATTCTCGTGACTTCTGAAAAGCAAGGGCGAGACAAGTCAGGCAGAGCTGGCGAGCCCCAGAGGGCACCAGAAAGCCTCCAGGGCCGAGGCACCGCCAGCGGGGCAGGCAATGGTGGTGGTGGGGGACTCCACAGTCCCCTTCTCCAGGGGAAGCAGCCCTGTGGCAGGGCAGCCGGGACAGACGGCTCTCTGCAGGATTCACGGACATGGCCCCATGCAGAAAGCAGCACAGAGCCCCCGGGACAAGGGCAGAGCTTGGGGGGCCAGGGCAGGGATGGACACACTCCCCATCCAGGGCTGCAAGGCCTTCGTCCTGAACATAACCAATGTCCCCTCCAGCGGGGACAGGGCTCGCTGCAAAGCCCTTCGGAACCTCGAGACAATCACACCCTTCCTCAGGTCCCACCACACTCAGCTCCAGAGCCTGGCTTTGCCTCACTGCTGCAGCAAAATAACCCCACATCCCCCCAGAATGGTGAGCGAGGGAGGGAGCTGCCAGCCAGGCAGGGCCCCTCCTTCCCTTGTCTGGCTGCACCTTGGGCAGCTCGAACTGACCAGTGCTTCCACTGAGAGAGCACTCTGCCTGTGGAGACCGGGCGGGCAGGCACCAGAGCTGCAACTCAGCTGAGCATTCCCCCTCAACCCAGAGGAGAGAGAATTGGAAAGACAGGGCTGCTGAGCAAGCCAAGCCCTTCCTCCAAAGAACTGTAGCCCAGAGGACCCCACTCTCTCCCCACCGCTTGCTTCCCAACTCACAAGAAACTCCACCCGGGCAGATCTTTTTTGGGTGAACTCTTTGCACGACTGGCGCCTTTCTTTGGAAGTTTTTGCAGAATTATGGTTGTTTCTCAGCTCACTGGATCAACTTTCTTCCACAGCGGACAGGCAGGTGAGAGGCCGTGCCGGAACAGGAGCAGGTCTCCATCACCATGTAGCCAGGCTGTGGGCTGCAGCTGAGGGGCCAAGTTCTCAAAAGGAAGCCTGAGGCAGAAAAGCGCAAGGGCTGTGCAGCCCACCAAGACAGCGGGATCCAAGGGCAAGGGCAGGGGCAGCTGGAGCCCTCAGGGAGCAGTGTGAAGCTGAAAATTCAGTCTCAATGGCCATAATAGCTATTAAGCAGGTCGTCTTTATTTGACGCGGACGCATAGGGGATCATTCCTCGTAATGTGTGTACCACCCTAGTGGAGTTTATGTTATTTATACACAGTTCACTTACATGTTCACGTAATTTCTAAGAACTAATTACAATATTCATTAGTTTTCCAAGGTATCTTTATAATATGTTGCCGCCTACTTCCGCATGTGCACCACAGTGTCTAGATGGGTCTAGGACCCCGGGTGGTCGTTTACTTCATCATTCTCATCTTCATCACAGCATCATTTCTGTGAACTTGGCTCTGTCTTCCCCTTTCCCTTACAGCTGAGAGCACAAAACCAGTTGCATCTGGTAGTTCGGCAGGCTTCAGCCTCCTTCTTCCATTATCTTGTTTTGCATAGACAGGAGTGTACCTAAATCATGTAAGCAGGCAGGCTCAAGGCTCAAGCCTGTTAATCATAAAGTGTACCTTTATTCCTTCGTTAGGCAGATTCCTCAGCAGAACTACGAATGAGGTATTACATCAAGCGCTCCTGTGAACAGATTTTCCTGCTACTGGCAATTTGTAATTTTCCATGTCTTCTTTCTTCAGGTGGGATGGGGAAACCTGGGCAGAGGTTCCTGAGGCCATTTCTGAGGCCTCAGTGTGGGCAGGGGGACACGGCCCCGGGTGGAGCTTTAAGTGCCCCCTTTGGCAGCGGGAGAAAAGAGGAGGCAGAGGCTGCCCCGGCAGCAGGAGGTGGAGAGGACACTGCCTGTCTTGGCTAAATCGCGCTGCCTTCCAGAGTGCTTGCCAGGGACATCCCACTCTCCTCTCGACACCACTGAGAAGACAAGGAGTGCTCATGTCCCACTTGGATACGGTCCTCCCGCACTGATATTTCAGGTTGCAGGACCCAAAATAAACTCTGATTCCTGCCTCTTGTTCTCTGGACCTACAGCACAAACAACTGTGTCTACAGGGCCTCCCCCTCCATGCTGGGGAAGGTGCTTTAATATTCGTTCTTACTTCTGATTATCCTACTCTGTCATTAATTTGTAATAAATTAAATTAATTTTCCCAAGTCGAGTGTGTTCTGCCTGTGACAGTTCCTGGTGGGTGATCTCCCTGTCCTCATTCTGACCCATAAGCCTTCCATTGTGTTTTCTCTCTCCTGTCGTGTTGCGGGATCTGGCGGCTGGGTGGGCACCCGGTGTCCAGGCGGGTGTTTCCGAGCGCTCACCCTGTGCCGGGTCCACCCTTCCCTTCTGCCTCTGGAAGAGAGAGGACTTTGAAGCGCTGTTTGATCTGACAGGAGCCGGGCCACGCTGCGGGGGACCGAGGCCTGCGGGCGGGTTTGCCATGGCAACGGGCTGGGCCGCAGCCCCGCCCCGCGGCAGGATGGGAGTTGCAGTCTTCCGTCCCAGCCCCCGCACCGCGCCTGGGCGCTCGGAGGACTACAGCTCCCAGGATGCCGTGGGGCAGGATTCCCCCCCTCCCCACATTGCGCATGCGCCTTCAGCGGAAGTCACCGGGGGCGTGCGCCGTCTCCCGCGGCCCCGCAGCGCCCCCTGCCGGCCCCGGCGTGCCGCAGGCGCGGCGGCAATGGCGGAGCGAGCGGCCGCGGGCACCGGCGGGGAGAGATGCTCTGCTGGAGCAGCAAGGAGGCTGCCTGCTCCGGTCAGCGTTCTCCCAGGGAGGACAGCAAAGGCCTGGCGCAAACGGTGGACGGGATACTTGTGCCCTCTCCTTCCTCAAGCCGCTGGGAACGGGATCCCAAGCTAGAGGGGTGTTTGGCTCCAGCCAAGGAAGGCAGCTCTTCTCCGGGCCTCCCCTGTAGCCGAGACCACCGGACGGGAGCCAGGAGCTCTACGGAAAGCTGGCACTGCGGAAGGCCATGCCTTGCCCCAGCGCTTCGCTGATGACGGCAGGCCAAGAGAAGCGAGCTCCCGAGTCCTCTGAGAGGAGCTCAGAAGCCTGCCGAGGAGCCCCCACGCTGGGGCAGGGGAGCGCCTGGGTTGCTGCAGTCATCCAGGTACCAGGAGGAAGAGGAGGAAAGCCCCACCTTGTTCAGCGCAAACTGCTGCCGCTTGTACGCAGACACACTCTCCCAAATCCTCGTGACTTCTGAAAAGCAAGGGCGAGACAAGTCAGGCGGAGCCGGCGGGCTCAGCACCCTTCAGCACCATCCCAGCCGCGGCGCTGGTGGATGCGGCTGTAACCAAAGACACCTCAGAGGGAGGCCCAATCTGTCTGCTCAGGCAGGACCACGTAGACCCCGTTGCCCAGGGCTTTCAGATACCTCCAAGAATGGAGATATTTGTCTCTGGGTAACCTGTTCAAAAAAAAACCACTGGAAATGCATGTGGTTGAAACCCATGGCTTTCCTTTCAACCAGCTCCCGGGCATTTTTGCTTGACTTCCTGTTCATTTGATGAGAAAAGAGCTTCAGATGAGAGCAGGAGCAGTACGTGCTACAGATTGACATTAGTGATGGTGTCAAGGGTAGAAAAACAGCTCTCTGGAAATGGAGTCTTGAAAGAGCCCTTCAGATGTGCTTGTTCAGTTACTTCAGTGGGCTCTTCCTTTCATTTTTGCAAATGACTCCTTCCTTTTTTACAATGCACTTGTCTCTCACACTTGCCTGCCCATATGATCGTGAGGGAAGAGTTGACAAGAAAAGCCAAAGGACAGAAAAATTGATGGGCTGTGGGGAGGGCATTGATTGCTCACCCTATACAACTTAGCCGTCACCTGCAGTGCTTGCCCTGGAGTTTGACTCGGGCTCTTCAAGTCCAGTGGCTGGAGCGAGTCACAGACACACTGGAGCAAGGAGCTACCAGTTGTCTTTTTATTTACCCTACTTCTATTACCATGACCAATAACTTTCATTTGTGAATAGAATATTAATTTCTCTGGATGGTTTTGTAGGTTTGTTTTAAATCTGAAGCATTAGGATTATCTCCCAAGCACATAGGCATAAAAAGCATAAAAAGAGAAAATGAAAATGTCCACTGGCTTCAGTAGACAAGGGATGCAGCCTCAAAGTTTGACTTGATTGGGAAAAAGGCCTTGGGGCTGAATGTTGTGAAAATGGCTGTACCTTCACTAGAGGGCTCCTGGGATCTTCGGTGACATTGCCTGTGTTTCCACCTCTGATTTGTCCTCCTTGTTCCTGCTCTGCAAACAGCCATTCCCTGTCCTCTTTTGCAGTGTCGCAAGGGACATCCAAATGATGTTGAGGTGCCTCTCCTGGGTCCTGGGCAGGGGCTGGCACTGGGTCTCAGCCAAGGTTAAGAGGGAATTTTTCCCTGACAGTGTAGCATCTTGCCACCCTAAGCAAGAGAGGTTCTGACGAGGCTGGAGACACATGAAGTCCCCCAGGAAAGGTGGAAGAGGAACATAGGGTCTGGCTCTGCCCTTCCTCTCCAGAGAGCCTGTCCTTTGGCAGAGCAGGCACAGGCAGACAACTTGCCCTTGGGGCTGGTGGTTCCTCTTCCAGGAACCTGACCCTGCAGGAGGTGGGCAGGACACCTCGCCCTCCTTTCTAGGTACACACAGGTGACGTTTCAGTTGCCCTTAGGCTTGTGGGGAACGTTGCACTCCAAGAGCTTCAGGGAACATCCAAGGCCTTCCTGGCAGGGGGGCAGAGGTGTGAGCTGTCAAACTGCAGGGACCTGCATGACTGCAGACAAGTGACGCTTGAGGGGAGCTAGGGAAACCCCAGGGTAGGGAAATGCCAAGGTTGGGAGTGCTGGGGTCGAGAGGGGTTATGCTGGTGCAGGAGCTCCTGATCTTGCTGCTCTCAGCCCCCTTGGAAATGCCAAATCAAGGCCCCTGGGGCCAGCTCCTGGCTGGAATCACCAGCCTGTGCCCAGCAGGGTGTTGATCCGCAGGGATTT